GGGCCTGCCCACCGCTGGCCTCTGCGGCCTCTGCGGCCTCATTAGTGGGACTGGAGAGCGATGCGCCCTATCGGGCCGCAGGATCTGCCCGCCTGAGCCAACTTGCCCCTGTGCCGCTTCGCCTCCCGCCTCCCGGCGGGCCTCCCCCACCCGCCTCCCCTTCGTTATTTCTCTTCTCTCTCCACCACCCTCGTTTTTGGAGTTTCGCCGGCCTCCAGTGTCTCCACCTATCATTCTTTGTGGTTTTAAAATAATCCTTCCAAAGCGTCCAAGCCAGCTTGAGCTCATAGACCGCACGAAGACAAGCCACGGACGTGACTGCCGCTTCCCAGCCGCTCTGCAAGTCAAGGGGAAAGCTGAGCTCCGAGGGCCTGGCACAGGGCGCAAGGGACTGGGTCGCTGACTGGAGGCCCAGAGACCATCCCCAGAGCTGCATGGGCCCCCCGAGCACGCTGGGGGCAGGCCCAGAGCACCAAAGACACACACACACACACACACACACACACACACACACAGAGATTTAGCTCTGAACAAGAACACAGACGCATCTTCCTCTAGAGATTCCTCCCGCCACCCCCTCACCCCCAAGAAAATTGAGACAGCAGATGTGAGGAACATAAAAATCAAGTGAAAAGGTTCATGTCCATGTCATCCGCCTCCTGACAAGGAGGGAAGTGAGTTCTATGGTGCTCAACACTGAGAGAGTCAGACGGTACTAAAAGAACAACGGGGCCACTAGCCACTAACCGAATAGAGATGAGCAGGGAATTACAAAGAACAGGGGTTCAGCAGGATTGGATAGATGCGTACATAGAAGACTACAAGAACTCAGAAAGAGGTAGATATTAGGAAATTTATGAATGATGCCACACAAAATGCTAAAATGACCAGTCTGATGTGCTAATTTTCCACATCAGGAAAATGTGGATTTTTCCCCCCTGGTTCTCTTTTGGTAGTCTAGAAACTACAAAGAAATAATGAGCTCATTTATGATTGATAACATCAATAATTCGTATTTATTTAGACCTTAAGTTATTTATTAATAGTTAAGCCACAGGCATTATCACATTTAATCAACTCAAATAGATTTTAACATTACCTGATTTACAGATGAGAAAATTGAAGCTTAAAAATACTATGAACTTGGCTGGAGCGATAGTACAGTGGGTAGGGCGTTTGCCTTGCACGCGGCTGACCCAGGTTCGATTTCCAGCATCCCATATGGTCCCCTGAGCACCATCAGGAGTAATTCCTGAGCGCAATGCCAGGAGTAACCCCTGTGCATTGCTGGGTGTGACCCAAAAAGTAAAAAAAAAAATTATGAAACGGGATTGGAGAGACAGTGCTGTGGGGAAGGCGCTTGCCTTGCACACTGCTGACCCAGGTTTGATCCCCAGCACCCCAGATAGTCCCCCAAGCTCACCAGGAGTGATCCCTGAGTAGGGCCAAGAGTAAACCCTGAGAGCCCCCACAAGGGGCTCCAAAACTAAGAACGAACAAGAAGTCACAAGAGTTTCCTCAAAGCATACAGAATAACACCCCACTGCATCTGCCTCACTCCCAGTCTGTGTCCTTAACCACATAGGGTTCAGATTAGCTCATTGATGCCAGCACACACTATGACTGGCTCACACTTCAGTGTGGTCTAATTCATGCAGATTTCAGTGCTCTATGCCACTGTGTTAATGGACCACCGTCCACATAGCAGATGGTCCCTAGGAACAAGTTCAACCCTTATGGTCTTGTTCAACATTTTATTTTACAACACTTTTGGTGAGAACGTATCTGCTTATCGAATTTTCCAGGAATGTGGAACCAGGAGGAGTAAGACTATGTTTGATAACTACAAGAATCCAAAGAGATTATGGAATGATTCACTAAAAAGAGGGATGTAACAGTGATTAGAATAGAATCCTTACATCAGAAATAACTGCACAAATGTACTGTCGTAGCTGTGGAAGAGAGGGTATAAGAAAGTATTCAGAGGTGTTCATTCCCTCACTTTAAGGACTATACTGAACTAAAACTGATTCAGCGCCTTACCTGAGGAACCATTCAAGAAATGTATAAAGTCTTGGGGCTGGAGCAATAGCACAGCAGGTAGGGCATTTGCCTTGCACACGGCCAGCCCAAGTTCGATTCCCAGCATCCCATATGGTCCCCTAAGCACCGCCTGGAGTGATTCCTAAGTGCAAAGCCAGGAGCAACCCCTGAGCATCACCGGGTGTGACCCAAAAAGCAAAAATTTTTAAAAAATGTATAAAGTCTTTGGGCAAAACAAAATTATGCTCTGATGGGATTAGGGGCAGGGCAAGAGTATACTGTGTCTTCAGGTGTTTCTGAAATTTGGCCATGAGGGGATATTAAACCCCTTACGTTTGGTTCAGTGTGAGAAATAATCCTGTGAGTCACATTGAATCAGTGTGTTTCCTATTGCCAACTTTTTTTTTCCTCCAGAATCTCAATTCTCAAAGGGAAAAAAGAAAACCAGAATAAGAAAAAAAACTAGTCATTTTTTCAGGGTGGTATAAAATAGTTTTTAACATAGATCCTGTAGAGGTCTTTCTTTATGTAAGAGGCTGATGAGTATTTTTTCTCATTTTTTAATATATATTCTGTTTTTATAAAGTTGTTTACAATAGTTTATTACAGATAATATTCAAACACCAATCCCACCACCATGTACCTTCCCACCACCAGAGTGGAAAGTGTGTGAAGATTGTTGTATTTCATCCTGGAGCCATTTAAGCCCTTTATATAAGAGAATACAAGCATGTATGTTAAAACCAAACAAATGCGTGCTTCTGTTGGTACATCATTGGGCTAGAGTATAAGAGGTCCAGAACGTTCTGTGTCACTCTCTTCTGGGAGCTTTATTTCATAGTCTCTGGATCTTCACCACTGATGGGATTATATGGCGAGGGCGGGGGGGGGGGGGCAGTATGTGGGTGTGACTGCCAAGCTCCTGGAAAACTGAGAAGCTGGGGGAAGGAGGCACAGTCCCATTCCGAGTGAGCTTGGAGATCTCATTCACAGGTCCCACATACCTGGGTTTTTCTGCAGGTTCCCTCATAGGTGAAGCTTGTCAGAGCCTGTGGAGAGTGGCCTTGAGCATGGCTGCCATAGGGTTCTGGAGGTTTTCGGCTGCTGAGGTTCTGTTGGGGTGGGGAGCGAAACTCAACCTGTCCCCCTCCGAGTTGCCCAAGTGAAGAGAGGCTGGGGCGGGGTCAAAATATTCTGTCTTGCCAGATGTTTTAAACTGAGAATGAACATTAATCCTTAGAAATTAGTCTACGTGACCTTTAAAATACCTCCCTAAGAGATATTGCCTCTGCCAAAGGGATAGGGGATGGGCAAGCCCTTCTCATCCTTGGTCCCCACGGGACCCTTGAAGTCACACCCACAAATATCCTCCAGCTGCTACTTTTGCTCCTTAATGGCCATGATCCAGAGACACACAAAAGAGTCTCCGAGCTGAGCAGCATTTCTCCAGACCCTAATTATTTAAAATTTTAGAATTCCAGGAGCATGCGGCCGCTCTTGCAGCCACACAACATCTTATACTATTCATAACAAGCAAAACAGAAGAGTATGAGGGAGATTGTCTGCCATAAAGGCAGGGGGAGGAGTGGGATGGGGGGTACTGGGGACCTTGGTGGTGGATGATGTCCACTGGTGGAGGGTTGGGTGATTGATCATTGTATGACTGAAACTCAAACAGAAAAGCTTTGTAACTATCTCACAGTGATTAAAATAATAATAATAATAATTAACATCCTGAATAAAAAAAGTAATGTGGAGTTCATCCCCATTTCAATCAGGTTAATCAATGGCTGAATAAATAGCAGTACTCCTACGCTAAAGAAAAAAAAAGAGATAGTGCCTCTAAACATGTCAGATGAATAAAGCATTTCTATACTGTTTTTTCCCAAAAAAAGTAAACTGCTTTCCTCTGTACTTTGCAACCTGATTTAATATTCTATTAGAATATATTGCAAAACTTCTATTTTGAACCTAAACTTTAAATTTCAGTTTTTTGCTTACAGTATGACAAGATGTTTTACCACACCAACTTAGATTTCTAGTGGTTTTTTGAAATGGATGAGTTCTTTGCTTACTTTGTGTTATTTTAGCCAAAGATTACATAAAGTTGTACTATACTTGTCAATTTTTGGTTTTTAAATTTGGTCTGATGATAGAATTTTTTGTGAAGTTTACAAAGGAATACATCAGTGCAAGAGTTGCCTTTAAATGCTCACTTAGTTTTTTATTTGTTTGTTTTTCCACTTTTGGGTCACACACCCAGTGATGTGTAGGGGTTACTCCTGGCTCTGCACTCCGGAATTACTCCTGGTGGTGCTCAGGGGACCATGTGGGATGCTGGGAATCAAAACCGGGTTGGCTGCATGCAAGGCAAATGCCCTACCCACTGTGCTATTGCTCCAGCCCCTCACTTAGTTTTTAATGAATTGAATTCTAATGAACATATGAAATTGTTTTAGGTAATTATCTATTAATATTATATATATTGCTTTTGGGGTCACACCCAGCAATGCTCAGGGGTTACTCCTGGCTTTGCACTCAGGGATTACTCCTGGAAGTGCTTGGGGGACCATATGGGATGCTAGGAATTGAACTTGGGTCGGCCACGTGCAAGGCAAACACCCTATCCTCTGTACTATCGCTCTGGCCCCTATAATTATTTCTTAATTTAGCTCTGTTATCTGCCTTCTGTTTTTTGTCCTGTCTTGAAACATATGTTAAAGTTTTTATTTTCCAACATTATCAATAGAAAACTAACTGGATATACATTGAATACCTTTTGTTTCTTTCCTAACAGTATTAGAAAACATCTTTTTTGTTGGTTGCCATTGATGTCTTTTCTAACATTTTAGAATACAGTAGCAGCAAAAATTTTAAATTTCTCTTTAGAATTTTAATCCTCCAAAGCTTACTAATAATTTAGTGGGTAAATTAATTGTAGTGAATTTTTTTTTTAGGTGTCATCCCTTTTCATGGATTTTCAATGTATGGTAAGTTGGGCTTTAAAATAGTCATTGTTTTTGTTATGCTTTAGAAAATCAAACATGAAGATTACACTTTATATCACATCATCCACACACTTAATAAGTTATTGTGAACATGTTTAAACACTGAGTTTAGTTTCTGCATGTTCAGTTGGGAAAAAAGTATTCATCATAATAATTCAGATGATGACTGTTGGACGGATCAGAATTAAAACATACTGTGAAAATGCTCCTGTGATTTGCCACTTCCGAATCCACTGGGAAATAGAAATCCACCTTCATATTTAATCTCCTAGGTATAAAACAAAATGGCTTCAATTCTGAACTAATTATCATTAGGTCCTTTTTAGACAATCATAAGTCAGTAAGAATGGAAAGGGAGCGACAGCCCTGAGTTTTAGTTCCCGATTTCTCCTGACTCTTGGGACCCATGGCAGTAATGACACTGAAGCCTTTGGATCTCGACGGTTGCATGTCCAGATGCAGCCTGTGCCCCCTTGAGTACCCCAGTGCCTTTCCATCATGAGTCATTAGTTGAGAAGTGTAAAGAAACCCAGTGAAAATGAGCAAGAGGAAAAATGCCCTACTCCTTAACGCTCCTTAATGATTCCGTTTCCATACCTTACATATAAACTTGTCCAAGATTACTGTCTCTACTCTCCAAACTTTAGACTGAAAATTTAAACCAAACAGAAATGAAACAGAATTTTTTTTACTTTTGTTAAAAAACATCAGAAATATAATGACACTTTAAATGCTGCTTGTTCAATACAAGACAATCACGGTGAATGACATGATAATGAAACCTCTTTTATGTCATTTTATTTGATCCCTGGCACTGGATTTTGATCTTCAGCAATGAAAAATAAACAAAATACATCCAATGAAAAGGGCAAAAGGTACCTAGGAATTTTGCATTATGCTGCTATTGATAGTATTGGCCATGAGCTTGAATTATAAGGCATTCTATTCTGAGTGCCTGAAATTTCATAATATAACATTATATAGTGGCCGCTTGGTAGATTTCTTCTTAATCACTTACTTAGATTTCTTATTGCAAAAAAATGAGGAACTTACAGTAGAAAACGTATTGGCTCCAGGAAGATGGCTCGAAGGGCTGGAACACATGCTTCACAAATGGGAGCCCCCCCAAAAAAATCCTCAGCACTGCGCATTCCCTTTAGGACCACTGGGAGTGCTTCCCGATGCTGCAGATGGTGGCCCCAACAGGAGCAGATTCAAAAATCCAAAATGGCTGAGAATATGAATTTTGCCTCTAATAAAAATATTATTATCCTTCTATCCTGTTTTAATAACTGCAACTGCAAAAAATGTTCCAAGTATATCATTTGAAAAAGATGTACTTGAGTGATTCGGAGTTAAGCTAATGATGTCATGAAAGGGTGTCAGGCAAGGTGCCTCTTCATTTTCTTCCTCATTTCTATGGGGTAAGATTATACACCCAAAGAAAATGTGTAGTGGAGAAATGGTTGGTGCAAAATGTTTAAAACGATGAATGCTATTTAAGAAAAATACATTAAGCATCCACAAACACTGCAGTAACCACTTATTTTTCAGTGTTCTAGAACAATCACAAATTATTCCAAGGAACCCTAGTACTCTACCACTTCAGTTTCAGTGACTATTTTTTTTAATTGTAACACTTAACTTTAAAATCATCCTTCCCTGAGAACAAAAGGGAATGCCCTGCCACAGAGGCAAGGTGGGATAGGGGGATGGGGGGCGGGAGGGATACCGGGATTAGTGGTGGTGGAGAATGGGCACTGGTGGAGGGATGGGTACTCAATCATTGTATAACTGAAACCCAAGCACAAAAATTTGTAAGTCTACAACTGTAGCTCATGGTGTTTCACTAATAAAAATGTTTAAAAAAATAAAATCATCCTTCCTTGTCCCATTTATGCAGATTAATAATCATATTGTAGGTATATTATGTCTTCATAAATAAATGTATGTAGTTTTAAATTGGACAAAAAGTAAATGACTTCAGTTTTATGGGAGAAAAAGGTACTTTAATTAGGCTCCCAAAATGTGGAAGTTTTTTACATGTTATATGTAATGGACTAAAGCTTTATCATTTCATAGCTATATAAGAAAATTCAACAGAAACAGTTATGGTTTCTTGAGTAAAAGGGTTTTGTTAAGTTTCACTTATGGGGAAAGGTACTGATTTTAAAATTTATTTTTATTCCTTCACTCGAAATGATCATTGATGATTATTGAAACTAACTTTGACAGCCACGTTACTGGCTTCTACATATTAATAGATTAGAAGTAAGAGGATGGCTTTGGTATTAGGTCCAGAAAGACTCAACACAGACAGATGACGCTGAACATACAGAACTTTATAATAATGTTAAGTACTGGTAAATCAATAAAATTCAAAATTTTAAAGTCGAAGGTAGCTGGACTGATAGTACAAAGGATAGGGTGTTTGCCTTGCATGCAGCTGACCCGGGTTCGATTCCCAGCATCCCATATGGCCCCTTGAGCACTGCCAGGAGTAATTCCTGATTGCAGAGCCAGAAGTAAGCCCTGAGAATTGCCAAGTGTGACCCAAAAAAGTCAAAGGGGAAAAATATGCATTATTGGACACATAAATTCCAACCCCCTATTTTGAATTCTCACAGAAGGTAAGGCCTTGCACACGGCCAACATGGCCGACCCGAGTTCGATTCCTCCGCCCCCTCAGAGAGCCCAGCAAGCAACCGAGAGTATCTCGCCCACACGGTAAAGCCTGGCAAGCTACCCATGACGTATTTGATATGCCAAACACAGTAACAAGTCTCACAATGGAGACATTACTGGGCCCGTTCGAGCAAATCCATGAACAACAGTACTACACTATTACCATATATTTATAGTAATACCATCGCTTTTTCTTGGATAGTGAAATTAGAACAGATTATAATCTTTTGATTCATATAATACCTTTAATTGGAGTTAGTCTGATAAGTAGAAATTTATTTGATAGAATACATTTTAAAGGTTAATTTGGAGGTAGCAGGATATGTTTGTCACTTTTTAAACATATTTTTATTTACATATAAAAATAGTACTTTGGGGGAAGAAAGATGTATAAATAGTACTTTATTTACATATAAATATAGTTTCTTGGGGGCAAAGGATAGGCCATGTGCAAGGTAAGACACTTGCCTGGCATGTGGCCTATTCTGCTTTGATTCTGTGGCTCCCCTTGGTCCCAGAGCATTGTCAGGAGTCATCCCTGAGCACACAGCTGGGAGCAAGCCCACAGCACAGTCAGCTGTGGCCCACAAACCAAAAGAATATAAATAAAAGGGCCAGAGAGAGTACAGCAGGTCGGGACCTTACCTTGTGTGAGGTCAGCCCAGGTTTGACATCTCATATGAACCCCCTGAGTGCTGCCGGGTGTGGCCCAGAAACAAACCTCCCCCCAAAGACTATAAGTAGATACAGCTATTTATTTATTTATTTATTTAAGTTTGAGCTCTTTATTATTTATTATTTATTTATTTATTTGCTTTTTGAGTCACACCTGGTGATGCCCAGGGGTTGCTCCTGGCTCTGCACTCAAGTAATTACACTTTGAACTGCTCAGGAGGCTGTGTGCAAGGCAAATGCCCTCCCTACTGGACTATCATTCCAGCACTTATATGGTTATTATTTATTTATTTATTTTGCTTTGGGGGTCACACCTGGCGATGCACAGGGCTTACTTCTGGCTCTGCACTCGGGAATTACTCCTGGCGGTGCTCGGGGGAACATATGGGATGCTGGGAATCAAACCCAGATTGGCCACGTGCAAGGCAAACGCCCTACCCGCTGTGCTATTGCTTCAGCCCCCTATTTGGTTATGCTTATGTATTAGATATTTACCCTCCAAATTGGTTTCTCCCCCACACACCTTTTTTTTAATTTAAGAAAAAGCAAAATTTCTCCATTGAAATGCCAGTTTTCTAATGATTTCCTCATCACTAACTGTCACGTACAGTTGACTGAAGTTTTATATTTGTCTGGCTTTACGCCGCTTACTGTCTGTCCCTTCCCTGAGTGAGAAGACCGTGCACTGAGCTGGCTCTATGGGGTCCTTGCCTCTTGATTGCCTGCTGTGTTCTCCCTTGGAACTCACTGACAGGTTTCAGAACGCCAGTGCTCTGTGTTAATTCGGGACCACAGTTTGAAGTGACTCAGGAAGCTCTTCCTCATTAGTACTGCACCTCATGTATCTGCATCTTAAACATGCATCTGCCGCCTGAAACCTCCAGGGCTTGTCAAGCTGAAAGCTGGGACCTACTTGTGTGGCCCTGGGGCTCTCTGGCCTTCTGCTCTGGGGTGTCGACTTGAGTTGATCCCCACTGAGCTTAATCACCTAGAGCTGGGTGAAAAAGAATATGGAATTCAGCATTTGAGAATTACATTCCTTAGAGTTTCTTTCAGCCTTTGAAAGCCGCCTTGATACATATTGAGACATGCCAATATTACCAATAAATATAACTTGTTTATCAAAATGTTTTTTTAATTTTAGAGTTTAATTGCTAAAGACTAATTATTCTACTTTTTTATGTTGTTTATTAATCACTGTCACTGTTACTTTCCTCCCATCGTTCACTAATTTGCTCGAGCGGGCCCAGGAATGTCTACATTGTGAGACTTGTTACTGTGTTTGGCATTGAATACGTCACGGAGAGCTTGCCAGGCTTTCCCGTGTGGGCGAGATACTCTCAGTAGCTTGCCAGGCTCTCTGAGAAGGGCGGAAGAATTGAACCCAGGTCGGTCGGGTTGGCCACATGCAAGGCAAAAGCCCCACCACTGTGCTATCACTCCAGCCCTGTTGTTTATTAATATTTTTAATAATAGAGGCAGTGCTCAGAGGCCCATTTGGTCTTAAGGATTGGACCCAAGCCTTGGCCACGAAAGACGGGTGCTATAATCATTTGACCCACCTCCCCAGCCCAGTTTAAAATCTAGCCATGGATCATCTTGTATGTTACTTATTGGACTTTCAAAATTAAAAAAAGGATCATGAAATGGCCTGGATCCTTTGTGAGCGAAGCAAAGTAAAAATGAATCTCACAATTGTTACTTTCTTCAAGTGTTTTAAAGAAAGTTTTAACTTTATGTAGACCATGGAGCTTGCTTTGAATTTTTAAGATTCCTACATAACCCTATCACATATTTTGGCTGTGCGTATTTTTTTTCAGCAGGAGAAACATGATTATAAGTATGTCTGTGAAAGAATACTATTTGTCTTATCTGATTTATATTTTCAGTTGCTTCATGAATTGCTACTAGTAGTTCTGCAATAATATCAATGCTTTTTTTCCCTTTCAGTTGCACCACTTTGTTTTCTCTACCATGAACCTTCCAAATTGTACCTGATCTTCCGCGAGATGTATGTGCGCTTCTTCTTCAGGCTCCATTCCATCTCGTCCCATCCTTCCGTAAGTTCACAAAAATTCCAATCCAATCAAACGTTCTCTCTCTCCTTCAGAAAAGGCCTCCTCAATTAAATTATAAAGCCACAGATTTTAATCTGTGATGTCGAGCAATATATTTCCACAAAATAAATGCAATTCCTTGGTTTTTCATTACAAATTGCGATTGCCAGATTGCGGGCAGTGGGGAAGGAGGAGGAGGGAAGGAAGGAGCAGACGTGACATCAGGGCTGAGGAAGAAGGTGCAGTGACTTTGTGCATCAAAACCAGCCATGACAGCACAGTTGTAGCCCTGTTACCTAGGTTATAGTCTGAATTTAAAAATTTTTAAATTTCAAGTTGAAAGAGAAGTAAGTTGACATTTACATCATTGTGGTAATAGGAAAAAGCCCGTTCTCATCTGCACCAATGTGATCTTTTAGATTAAATGTGATTTCTTTGACAAAGAGATCTGCCCTGTGGAGCACCGATTTCCTCACCTATGAAATAGACAGTAGAGAACGAGCCTACGAACCTTCCAGGCAGTCTTGGCTCACGGCAGTCAAAGAATAATGAGCTTCTGTTTCCAATTGTTGCTATGATCATCATCTCGTCTCTGAAATGAAAATCAGATGTTTATCATGTATTGTTCATTCCCTGCTTGTCTAATTATCAGTTATCCCAGATACTTTCTTTGTGTTTATCCTCTCTGAGACAACCCACAGGCCTCGCTGTGAGAGACAGGAGAAGCATACTGGGGGCCCCACACCGTGGTCTGGTTCCTTCAGCCCCTACTTCATCCTTTCTCCCCTCTGAGCCCGGGTAGACACAAAGGCCGCGTTGAGTCCTGTGTGGAGACTTTTTCTCCATTTCAGCTGTGTTCTGGGGAACTCGACCGACTCTCCCGACCAGACATGACACTGGGGTGAGTCAGGGCTGCCAGTTTCCCCAGAGACTGTAGCTGCGGCTCCAGTCCTTTCTCTCGAGCCTTAGTCCTGGTTCCTGCACCCTGTCTCCCTGCCCCACCCTTGCACACAGACATTGCTAGCGAAAGCTAGCTCAGGCCAGAAAGCCAGGGCATCCAGGGGGAAGCACATGCTGCACCCCCCATCTGCTCGGGTCTTCTTCAGAGACTCCTGGATTTAGTGTACTTCCGTGTTTGCCTAATAGAGAAAATCTAAACCCTGTTTCTCTGTCCTAATACTTAAGTCAATATTGGACTTTTGACGCTCCTCTTCAGTCCCATTTTATGCTTAAGTGAAAAAATAAAATATTTGACTCGCTGTCCAGTGCAGCCTGGAGAAGTCTGGCCAGCCCTGCTGTGGTCCAGCTGCCCTGGGGTGTCCTTTTACAGCCAACCCACCGGGCCAGCCCCGCCATGTCCCTTCTGCTGTCCTGCAAGCATGAAGCCTTTCCGGCCAAGCGGCCATCTCCTTTTCTGGCCAAACTGAACTCCTTGGAACCTTGACAACCCTTTTTTCCCCTTAGAAACTCAAAAAAAGAGGATTAAGACTTCCTTACCAAGATCTCCGCGGAGGAATGCTGAACTACAAGAAAGACTTTATTCAGAGTCCAGAAGTGAAAAACGCACTTGAAAAGCCATCTGCTTCAATCAGTTACTTTCTGTACTCTACCCAATAATGCCCCTTTTAAGAAGTCGATTTCAGAAAGAAAAATATCTTTATACTAAGTAATCAAATATTCTCGTTTGATAACTTCCTGATGCAAATTTGGAGCAGTCAGCAGTCTTTCCCTGGGGGTGGATTTCAAAAAAGAGTGAAAAAAGCAGGAAATATTTTTCTTCATGGGTGAGGCAGCTGAAAGGAAAAGGACTTGGAGGAGAAAGGGTGTGACTGTAGCCCCAGAGAAATACCTGGAAGCTGGAATGAATCCAGAGAAAACTCATTTGGCCAGGCTGAGTGGTATTACGCGGCTTTTAGGGAGCAGGCTTTCCTTCGAATATTCCCTAACTAGGTGATGTGGGAGCCTCCGGTATTCGAGGCTCCTTAGACAAAGGCTCCTAGAGAGGGATGTCCTACATCTGGAAACCCTGCGAGTTGGAAATTGCTTGTGTGTTTCTTGTTTTGACTTCTATTATTAAAAACAAACTTAAATGTTTCCCCCTTTTTTCTCACTTCACTCAATATGTTGGCAGAGTTGGTTGTTAAATGCTGAAATGCATATTTCTCTCATGGTTTGTTATTGTATGCAGGGTATTGTGTCGCTCTGTTTGCTGTTTGAAACTCTTCTGCAAACATACCTTCCCCAACTCTTTTATCATCTACGGGAAATTGGGGCTCAACCGTGAGTATTTTCTTTCCTAGTGAAATCAGTTGATATCCAAAGACTATTTCACTGTCATTGTAAAGCACTGGCAATGATGCAGTAAATTTCAAGACAAATTAACAGTTTTCCCCCATTTGATTTTAATTTAGAGAAACAGTTCTCGTCACGTAACTACTTAATAAAGTATTTCCCAAGTAGTGATTGTAACAGAAGCATCCCCAAATATTCTTGGAATAATTACCAAAGCCTGGGACAACAGTCACCAGGATAAGCATTTTTTTTTTTCAGTTTTGTTTGGTTCTGGTTTTGGTTTTGGTTTTGGTCGTTTGGCCACACCTGAAGGGCTGGGAGGCACTTGACTCTGGCCTTCCTCTTATAAAGCAGTCACTCAACTCATGGCACTGTCTCTCCAGCGCCAAACTAAGTTAAAGGTGTTGGTCAAAACTGAAGCAAAATTTTGTAGAAAAAAATACTACCTGAGAAATTGTGCCAGAGTGATAGTTCAGTGTTTGCCTTACTCTGGGTCGGCATCCCATATGGTGACTTGAGCACCACCAGGAGTAATTTCTGAGTGCAGAGCCAGGAGTAACCTCTGAACATCACCAGATGTACTCCTCTCTAAAAAGAAAACTTAAGATACGCGATGATACTAAAAGTCAGTTTATCAGAATACCTTCATGAAAGCTCTGGAAGCTAAATTTTTCTGTCTTTAAAATTTTTGTTTTGTTTTAGGTGGAGCGATAGCACAGCGGGTAGGGCGTTCGCCTTACAAGCGGCCAACATGGCCGACCCGAGTTCGATTCCTCCGCCCCTCTCGGAGAGCCCGGCAAGCTACCGAGAGTATTCGATATGCCAGACACAGTAACAACAAAGTCTCCAATGGAGACGTTACTGGGCCCGCTCGAGCAAATCGACGATCAACGGGAGGGCCTTTACCTTTACCTTTACCTTTACCTTTAGGTTTTGCACCACACCCAGCAGTGCCAAGGGACTATTCTTGGCCCTGTGCTCAGGGACCACTCTGGTCTGTGTGGTGTTAGGATCAAACCTGGGCCTCCCACATGCAAAATATTTTCTCAATCCTTTGAACTATCTCTCTGGTCTAAATTTTGTTGTCTTATATAAAGTAACATTAGGTCAATTAGCTACCAATCATTGTACTCTGATTTTCCTTCAAAAAGTTTAAAAATATGTTTATCTCATGGTGGGGCTGGAGCGATAGCACAGCGGTAGGGCGTTTGCCTTACAAGCGGCCAACATGGCCGACCCGAGTTCGATTCCTCCGCCCCTCTCGGAGAGCCCGGCAAGCTACCGAGAATATTCGATATGCCAGACACAGTAACAACAAAGTCTCCAATGGAGACGTTACTGGGCCCGCTCGAGCAAATCGACGATCAACGGGAGGGCCTTTATCTTTATCTTTTATCTCATGGTGAATTACCTATTAATGTATAAAATACTTAGGGTCTTAAGTATGATTTAGTTTTTCTCTCATTTAAAAACAATGTATCTAAAGCAATAGAGTCTACAAATGATTTACCAATGGTTTAGAACTGTTAGGAAATGAATATTAATTAATTCTTTGAGGCTACAAAAGGAGTTAATGAGAAATGGAACAGTTTAGTATTTATATTTGCCACACTTGAATGTATAGCAGATGAATAGATGGGTGGATGGGTGTATGAGTGAGCGGTTGAGCTTGAGATTAATTTAAATTGTCTCTTAATAAATTTTCTTAAACTGGCAAAACATTAATTTACCCAAGCATCAACATTTCTTTAAATCAAGATAATTTAAGTTTCTCATCTTTAAAATCAAGAGAATTCCTACTTTGTGGAGTTGTTTTAAGGTTCAGTTGTATGTATGTATGAATATAATTATATATATATGTGTGTGTGTGTATACATATGACTATGTGTATCCTTTCAGTAAATTGCCACTGAATGTCAAGTACCTTAGATCTTAAGAATGACATTTATAAAACCTTATAGGACAAAGGGTGTGGCATAAAGTAGTAAAGCACATGACTTAATTGTGTGGTGCCCTGGATTTTTTGATTCCAGTACACAAAACACACACACACACACACACACATACATACATACACACAGAGTAAGTGTATATTACAAGTTTACACTTGTGAATTTTCTATTTTTCTGCTGGTTATTGAATAAGAAAAGAGATATTAGGGTCTCCTACTATAATTATAAATTTTCACTTTTTTCTTCATTGTTATAGATATGTCACACACACATGTACATATGTATATTTTAATTTCATGGATTTGAAGTTTGCTTTTGGGAGATTTGATCTCTTTATTATTATGAAATGTCTTTTTTCCTGCTGATAGATATTATGTGACATAGCTATTGTAGCTTTTTTTTATTTCGCTTTGCATGGTATATTTTATTTTATCCTTTTACTTATTACACAGACTATCAATATCTATTTTTCATGTGAATTTCCAATTATGCCTCAAGAAATATAATTGGATCATCCATGCAGCATCTTGCCTTTTCATTTAATTTTAATTAATTCCATTTACATTTAATGTAATTGATAACAGTGGATTAGAGAATATTTATATTATCTATTTTCTAATGTCATATATTTCATGCTTTCTTTGTTCTTTTTTCATCTTTTCTTGCATACTTTGTAATAAGTACTTTTGTTCCATTTTATCTTCCCTAGTGGGATATTATTTTTACCCTTTCAAGTTACCATAAACTGTGTTGCTTGTAAACAAAAGAAATTTTTCTCTCTTGGTTTTGAAGACAGGATGTCTAAGATCAGCTGCTAGCACAGTCAAGTTCCCGGGAGGACCTTCCTCTGGGTCACAGCTGCCGACTTTCACTGTATCCTCACGTGGTAGGAAGGGAGAAACAAACTGTCAGGAGTCTCATCAAGGCACTCATCCCAGTCCTGCAGGCTCCACAACTTGTCATCTCCCACAGACACACCTAACTAATGGATCACTCTGAGGGGAAAGTTTAAATATCCAAATCTGGAGGGGATGCATCCAAGCATTCAACCCATAATTGCACCCTACCATTAATAATATACATTATTAATTAATCACTTCCTATCTTCAAATAACTCGAGGTTTAGAAATCTTCAGTGGCTAAGATCTTGGTCTTTAGTTCTCAAAAGTTTGACTGTTATCCAAGTAGGGATTGCTTCGAGCTAATTAAATCTTCAGAAATGTCTTTTGCCAAATTTAGGAATATTTTCTTTTTCTTTTTTGATTGGAGGAAGATGAGACACGCCTTGTAGCATTCAGTATTCAGAGGCTAGTTCTGACTCTGTGCTCAGAAGTAACTTCTGGCGGTTTTTGGGGCCTGGATATGGTGCCAGGAAGCAAACCAGGGTTATCCACCCACAAGGCAAGCACCTCGTGTCCTGTACTATTTCTCCAGCCCTTAGTCATTATTTCTGCAAACTATTTTTTCTGAACAACATTTAGTGTCCTTTTCTTCTGGGACTCCAATGCCACAAATGTTAAAGCATTTGGTCTTATCCTACAATTTCCTAAAACTCACTTCATTTTATTTTTAATTGTTTTCATTCACCTTATTCCTTTTTTCTCAGCTTGAGTACATACTACTCCTGTATTTGTTAATTCACTGGCTTTCTTTTTTCCTCAGCAATTTCCATTTTGCTTGCTGTTGATTCCCATCCAGTATGGATTGTGCTTTTGTTTGCATTTTTTTTTTTTAGATCTAAGGTTCTCAATTGATGAATGTCCAGGAGTGAGGGATGTTACCACTTTGGTGGTCCGTGTGGTGGGTAGAGCTGTAATCCTAAAGCTTAACAACAACTGCTGTAAAGCAGTGTTACCTTAATAAAAATAAATTTAAACGTTAGTAATGTTTCGTGTGTGTGTGTGTGTGTGTGTGTGCGTGTGTGTTAAAGGTTGAATCCAGGACCTCATACATCTTTACCTCTGAGCTTCTTCCCTAGTCTGCATTTGGTTTTGGCAGAACTCAAAGAACTGTGCTTTACAACCGTAGCACTGTAGCACTGTCCTCCCGTTGTTCATGGATTTGCTCAAGAGACCACCAGTAACATCTCCATTGTGAGACTTGTTTTTACTGTTTTTGGCATATCAAATACACCACAGGGAGCTTGCCAGGCTCTGCCATGAGGGTGGGATACTCTCGGTAGCTTGCCGGACTCTCCGAGTGGGATGGAGAAATTGAACCCGGGTTGGCCACATGCAAGGTATATGCCCTACCCGCTGTGCTACTGCTCCAGCCCATGCATTATAACTAAAGATAAATTTTACTTCCTACAAATTATCCCATTTAACTTTTAAAAATTGATTTTGGGGCATACCAGTAGTTCTTAGGCCTTGTTCCTGGCTCTGTACTCAGGGATCGCTCCTGGCCGTGCTCAGGAAACCATATGGAGTGCTAAAAAAGATTTAAAGCAGGTAGTGCTGCATACAAGGCAAGCACCTCAACCCCTGGACTCTGTACAGCCCAATCAGTAACATTTTTTTAAAATTTAGTTTGTGCTGTCGATAAAGGAGAAGCATGGTGTGTGGTATTACTGTTCTAACAAGACACTATAAGAGCACCAATGAAATGAAGGGAGGTGTCTCACATGATCTCCAGCATTGCAGAGCCCAAGAAGCATCACATCCTCAGGCCCTGCAGTAAACCTCTGCCCAGTTGGTCGAAATCTCAGGTCTGGACCTCCAGAGTACTGCTTGGGAACCGCCCCCCAACAAAAAGGGGAAAAATACAGACGTTGATCTATATAACTTTGTTGCCATGCCAGCAAAGAGTTTGGCTAGCACCTCACCAGACAATCCAAAGATGATCAAATACTAATAGCACAGAAATGTGAGTGAGTGGTTTATCTCTTAAGGTGCCGAAGTCAAAGAATCCGTCTCCTGATTCTAGATGTGCAGTGTTCTTTTAACTTAACCTATTTCTAGGTAATGCAATCAGGTAGGGGTTTTATTTTGTTTTTTCAAAATGAAATTCAGTTAAATTTCTAATGCTCTTTCAGAAATCTAATGACATCCTCTTCAAAACAAAGAATTTGAAATTAGAAATCTCTTTCTCTAGAAACTTTAAGATCCCTTAAAGTTTTAAAAGACTTTTCTTCATCTTTAAACACTACTACCTGTTTTGTTTTATTCAAGGTATGTAGCCATTTTAATTGAAATACAGGAATATCATTTCTTGAACTGGAAAAAAAAAGCATCAAGCACTTTCAAGTTCTTTGAACAAAATTTAAATTATCTGGGCTTGCCTGGAACTGTTATGATCCTGAAAAACAGAACATTGAAGTCAGTTTTCTAAAGTCTAAACCATAACATAAAGGAGAGCTCAGCAAAAGTAATTCTTCCTAATACTTTGAGACCACTAATTTGATGACTAACAGTTTCTCTTCATTACACTTCTTCTACAGCTTTCAAGAGAGCACTTGAATTTTAAATACCCAGGTGATTTCTAAGACTCATAAAGAAGTTCTATTAACAATAGAGTTAATTGAGCTCTTTTGGTATTGCCTTTTTGCAAGGGGGGAAAAATGCCAGTGGTAAAATTTATTTTTTTTTCTTCTTTGCTTATAGACTTCGTATATCATTCAAATGGATGGTCCGTGCTTTCTCTGGATACTTAGCTACAGACCAACTCTTGCTTTTATGGGATAGAATCCTAGGATACAACTCCCTGGAAATTCTTGCCGGTAAGAGTAAATTCTGGTTTGTAATACACACGTTGTTTCTATATAAGGCCCTTCCCTTTCTAATGTTCACCCTCTACAATTGGTGTTTGAGTCTACAATTATCAGCCATTTCTGATTCATGGTATATCTTTCCTAATAATGACAAGAATAAGGATATTTATCTGCTTTAAAATTTAAGTGTTGAGTTTCTGAGATCTTGATGCTGGGGTCACTATGTAGCATCATCTATTCTTTGTCTCTTTTCCTGCTTGGTTACTCCTCCTTTCCTTTCGGTCCAGCCAGAGCAGAGTTCTCTCTCCCCACGCGTGAGGTCTGTGAAGCTGAGAGTAGGTGGATTTCCTTTCTGCGTTCACGCGTCCATCTTAGCACCCTTTTCCATGCCCCTTCTCAACTCCTACCTCACTTCCACTGACACTCAGCCTCCCTGGAGAGTTGAAATCCCAGCTTTTCTGGACTTCAGTTTATGCTGAATTCAAAACATTTTGCTAATAGTATCTGACTTCTGCCCTGGTGAGTTTTCCCTTTCAGGTGTTCTTTTAAGCCAAAAATGAATTTTTCATCTGTATTTCAAGAAGCTACGTAGTCAACTCACAACCATCACATTCACACCAAAATTGTTCTTACAACAAGTAAACGCACGGACGATTATATGAAAACACATCCAGCACAGATTTATTATTATTTATATGATTTTGTTTCCCTTTTGCAAAACAGACTTGGTTATTTTTACCATTGGGCTTATCAGGATATTCAAATAAATATAACAAGATTTTTACAGCAGTAGATGCAGGACAGAAAAGTTGGCAGTGTTGTTCCAACCTTTTCCTGTTATGTGATACTAAACAAATTATTTAACCTCACTTTTTCTCTTTCCCTTGCCTTATGTATGTAGATACCTCTTTGACCTGCTGTGGAAATGATGCTTAGTTGAAGATCACCTTTTCTTGCATAAGAAGGAAAAGGTCATCTTATATATGTATCATATTAGCACTTCTTGAACCCTGAGAAGTCTAGAGGATTTGGGCAGGAAGGTTAAAAAAAAGGATTATTAGGGAAGTAATAAAATTTCTTAAAGATAAACGTTGTCCCTAGTGTAATCAAAGATATGACTTCTGATATTTTTTGTAACACCTACTATCTTTTGCCCTAATTTTTAAAAAATTCTTTTTCTCTTGGGGCCACACCCAGCAGTACTTAGAACTTACTCCTGACTCTGTGCTCAGGGATCACACCTGGTAGTTCTCGGGGGACCATATGGGATGCTGGGGATTGAACCAGGGTTGGTAGAATGCAAGGCAAGTGTCCTGCCCGCTATTCTATCTCTCTTGTGCCCTGTTTTTTTTTAAAGTTAATTTTTAATGGTTAATTTTTATTTTTTTAACAGTGAGATATACAGTTACAAAGTTGTTCATAATTGGGTTTCAGCCTTTCAGTGTTTCAACACCTGCCTCTCTATAGCAGGCACTTTCCTTCTCTCGCCTGGTCTCTCTCTCTCTCTCTCTCTCTCTCTCTCTCTCTCTCTCCCCTTTTGGGCATTATGGTTTGCAATACAGGTATGAAAGGTTATAATTTATGTCTGTATACCTTCTTTCAGCTCTCAGTTCTTGTCTAGAGTGATCATTTCCAAATCACTGTCATAGTGGTCCTTTTTCTATCCTAACTGCCCACCCCACCACCCCCTACTTGTGGTAAGCTTCCAACAGTGAACCAGTCCTCCTGGCCTTTGTTTCTACTATCCTTGTCCTACACTATGTTTTTTATATCCCACAAATGAGCGTAATCATTCCATGACTTATCCTCCTCTTCTGACTCATTTCACTCAGCATGATTCTCCATGTCCATCCATTCCCCTGTTTTTCAAAGTCCATGCTGATTTTAGTTAGAAAAGATTAGGCTGACCTCATCTTAATCTGGATGTCAGTGATGAGTATAATTTAGCCATAAAAGGAATCCTAAAATAATTAGGCATAACTGCTATAAGGTTTTTCAGACATAAAATTCTTAGCCTCTTTTTCAGTTTATCAGTTTTGGGTAATCTGTGTTTACCAGGTAGTCCATTTCAAGTCTGTGTTATTCAGCTGCCTGAATAAGTGGATTTTTATTAATCCAGGATGATAATCTTGCTATTTCTACTCTTGTATCATCTCCTTTCCCCAAAGTCTTATTTCCAGGCTAAACAGAAATAAGTTGTCTGCAACTGTTTTTCAGGGGACAGGATTTTAGACTTTCCCCTACATAAGTCATAAGTCAGTTGAAGAAGTGTATAGTATATAGCTTTTTGTGTCATTTCAGAAATATGTAGCATGTAAAAGGAGTCCAAAATAAGGCATTATTTTTAAGTAATGGACTTTCCAAAAGTAGAATGGACTTTTAAAGGTCATCTGAGGAGCTAAGAGGTTGACTGTGATAGTAATGTTCAATTAAAACACTTTCCAGACCTTTTTAGATGAGAGAATCCAAATTCTCTCATTTTTTTTGTTTTGAAACTTTATTTGAATACCCTTATTTTAGTGTGGGGAACTCAGCACACTAATTAAAATGTTACTTTTAGGGTCAGGAAGATAGCACAGGTGTTAAGGGCTGCACCTAGTTCAATCCTGGCACCCTATATGGTCCCCAGAGCACCGCCAGGAATGATCCCTCAGCACAGCCAAGAGTGGTGTGTCCCAATTACCAAGGAAAAAAGAAAAGTTACTGGTAAACAGGCAGCAATGAATTCTGCATTGTGGTAGCCACTTTCCTTGCATGCTTTTTAAGACCAATTGAGAACTGTGGAAATCTAAAAATGGAACTCGATGGATTGGAATTGCCCTGCCATGGAAGGAAGATGAGGAGCCACAGGAGAGAGTGTCTCGGGGTGAGGAATACAAATTAATTTCAATTATTTTGTACAAGTTTTGATCAGAATGGGACTATCTCATTTGCTCGAACAATACTTGAGTAAATATTTAATAAATATTTAGTTCTAATCGTGAATTAATTAGTTTTTTTAAATAACAGTTTAAAGCAAAGGCACCTTTGAGATTAGTACCAGGAGTTTTGCTCCATGACTTGGAGGCCAGCCACTCATGCTAGGGGAAAAGGGAGCTCAGATAGAGAAGGGAGCACCAAATAAAGAGTGTTGGGAGGATCCTCCCAGGATGGGAGAAGCATGCTGAAAGTAGACTATAGACCAAACATGATTGCCACTCAGTGCCTCTTTTGCAAACCACAACACCCAAAAGGAGAGAGAGAACAAAAGGGCATTCCCTGCCACAGAGGCAGGGTGGGATGGGGAGGATAGGGGGGATACTGGGACCCGTGATGGTGGAGGATGGGCGCTGGTGGAGGGATGGGTACTTGATCATTGTATAACTGAAACCCAAGCACAAAAATTTGTAAGTCTACAACTGTACCTCATGGTGTTTCACTAATAAAAATTAAATTAAAATAAATGAATAAATAAATAAGGCAAAGGCACCTTAATGTTCACAATATAATTACTTCGAATTAATGAGAATGGCTTAAAAGATCAGAAGTGAATATTCACAGATCCATATTTCAGGCAGAGGCCGACTTCTGTTGACAATGTTCCGGACTAGAGGCCTTTTCTCCTTGGCGTGCAAACCTGTTCTGTGGAAGGGCAAGGCCAAGCAAACACAAAGTAGATGAAAAGGAACTTGTGTGATGTGGCACCAAGATAAATAAGGGTTTTGAACACATAAGCACTTTGGATGCTGAGGTGAATTAGCGAGCCACTCTTTCCCCTCTTATCTATGGTTGGAAAAACAATTTCCAGCCTAGAAAAAAATACTCTTTCCTGTTGCTGCAGAAATTTGGAGCATCCTGTCAATTTTTACCATCTCTGTTAAATATTAAGCAAGATGCAAAACAGTGATCACACTTCTTAGCTTGTAAACGGTTTCCCTTGACATACAGGATTCCATTTAGGAAACTGAAGAAGCTGCTGGTTTTCCAGAAACAATTTCCTTTGCTCTCTTGTAAACATAGAAGTAACTAAATGAAGTTTTCTCCTTTTCAATTGAAAGGTCATTTCTTGGTCCCGGATCTCTTTTGGCCCTTGTTACAGTTTAAATAATTGCAACTGATTTGACTTTATCATTATTACTATTATTACTGGAGCACAGTGGGTAGGGCGTGTGCCTTGCATGCAGCCGACCCGGGTTTGATTCCTCCCTCCCTCTCAGAGAGCCTGGCAAGCTCCCGCCCACTCAGCAGGGCCTGGCAAGCTCCCCGTGGCATATTCGATATACCAAAAACAGTAACAACAAGTCTCACAATGGAGACAGTACTGGTGCCCGCTCGAGCAAATTGATGAACAACAGGAGGACGGTGCTACAGTGCGACTATTATTACTAGTCTGGGGATCAAACCCAGTGGTACTCTGGTGCTACTCCAGCTTACGGTTCAGGGATAACTCATTGTGGTGCTGGGGGCACCATGCAATGCCAGAAGGGAACCCAGGGCTCCCAAATTCAGAGGATGTTCTCACTCCTTTGAGTCCTCTCTCTCCCAACTCTTTTAAAAATCTCCCCATCACTTAATTTTTTTTTAACTCCAGAACTCTTCTCTAACTAGTCCCGTGCCTTTTCTGCCAGACTGTCCCGACTCTCTTATCCTAGAAAAGTGCCTCTGCGCGCTAGGTACTAGGTGCGCTCTGCCTCTCCCAGGGGACGCTGGAGACTGGATGCCGACTTTTGCTCCTCAGACACTCCATCCAACCTGCCAGTCCGAGCCCATGGTTTCAGCCTCGTGCCATCCGTGGAAGGCAGCCCGGGCACCGCAGAGCTGCCGAGTGTCAGGAAGGTGGACAGATGTCACTCAGGGCTGAGTCATTGCTGGTCACCTTTAATCGCAATTATGTCATCGCAGAGTGATTGGATGGTGGCGCTCCAGAACGAGCGCTGAGTTGTCACGCTGTTTTCTGTCACTCTCAACATGTCACCCAAACTTCCTGGGCCTCAGTGTCTGCATTTGTAAAATGGGGGTGATAATCGTGCTTCACTCCAAGTTGGGGTGAGAGTTAAGTGCAGTTTGCATCATCATCATCATCATTATTATTATTATTATTATTATTATTATTATTCCCAGAGCAAAGATGTGTTTTGTAAAGACATAATTGACTAGCTGTGCATTTTACTTAGGAGTCAAGCTTTTTCCCACTGATACTGAAGATTCCTTATCATTTATTTTCTAAACTGCAAGGACTTTTTGTGTAGGACATGAGAGGTAGGAACGCTCCTGTCAACTGGTGATACCAAGACAAAAAAGTAGGGAGGAGCAGAGTCAGCTCGGCTCCTTATCGGGGCTGCTTCTCTCCCACCGGACTCCTTTTGTCTGTGGTGACTCGTTCCCTGCATGATTTTTACTCTGGATTCTGTATTAAGTGGCATTTTTCATTAGTGTTACTCACTTTCATACACGTGTGCTTAATGGCGGCACGAATCCAGCCGCTGTTTTCCGTTCTGTGCATATTATTGACCTCCACGGTGCTCCTGTGTGGTGGTTTTTTGATTTTTCTGATTTTTAGGAAAATGTTTCTTCCCTGTCCCCTCTCCCCCCAACAGCATTCATGTAAATATCAGAACCAATCCCATAGCATCTTTCCCAGAAACATCCTGTTATGGTACTAAGAAAGTTGGTGCTGAAATATAAAAATGTAATGATAGCAGCGTGTTATAAAAGTGTTCATTTTGCTTTGTTTCATTGATTTATTGGTTATTGTTCTGGGGGGGGGCATGCTGGTCGTGTTCAAAGGATTGTGAGGCACCCAGGATGTAATCCAAGGTCTCACGCAAGCAAGGCATGTTCTGGAGTCACATTCCTGACCCCTACAAAGATTATTTTTTAACAATAGGCTTTATGGCTGCTTTTCTAGCAGGGCACGTCCCTGTGAATATAAAAACCATGATCTGATTCATGGAAAGCCTCAGTCTCCGACAACTTTTTAGATGACTCCCGATTGCCATAGCATAAAAGAGCTGCATCAAAGCAAACCTTGATTCATAATTCATTAGAAACTTATACATTTAAAAACTGTTACCATGTAAGTTGTAGGTACGACAGAAACACCTTATAAAAACAGTTATTTTTTTAAGACCACTGAATTTTTCTTTTGCCCAAAACTGTGGGTTCTCTTGATCTAAATGTGAGACTCTGTTTCCCGGAGGTGATCATTTATGTCCATGCCAGGCCCTTCGCCCCGAAGGAAGATGGCAGGTAGGGGAAGTGTTACGGGTGCCCTCGCTGTGGGTTGTGGGCAGTGCAATGAATCTGCCAGGCTGATGAGTAGGTCAGCAGTTGAAATAGTGTGCATTCTTTTCCAGTGCTGGCAGCTGCTGTGTTTGCTTTCCGAGCAGTGAACCTGATGGAGGTGACATCATTGGCTGCAGCTGAAGTAAGGATAAGTTTCTCTTCGATGGGATGGAAATAGTTTCTGAGAGATGGCCAGGCCCAGGCGCTCTAGTCTCAGATGCATAGGATATGCATTACTCAGAGCCTAACCTGAGTAAAACCTGTTAAGTTCCGAGCTAAGTACTCGTCAGTGTTCAAAATGCCTCCAGTGCTTGAAAACTTCTTGTGATGGAGTCATCCACAAGCTTATTATAGGAAGTCATTAGAGGAAATAAGAAACCTAGAAATATCAGAAGAAACTATTGGGGCTTCACTTAATCACTTAATCACTACTGTAGTAGTGGACACTACTTCCACTACCCAGCTGTACTTAAATAATATAGAAATAATAGTGTTTCTTTTGTTATTTTCAATTGTGAGTTAATTGTGTGAGGCTGACGTCTTTTCAGTAGTATGTTTTATTCCTGAAACATGGTTCAGTTTAGTAGTGACTTACTGTATTACTCTATTTGTTATCTCTTCCAGAAATATAAATTTTCTCCTTAAAATAGCTGCCTACATTCTTTGTTTAAAGGGAAGAGGATGTTTATGTGTCTTGTGACTGAATAAACACAAGTTCTATCTCAAAATTATTTCCTGAAGCCAGTTACCCCTGATACTAGTATAACAGGACTAGGATTCATAATGTATGTTTATTTATAGAACCAAGTTGAAATGTTAGACCTCTTATAAACTCATGCTACCTTGTGTATTTGAAGATGGCTCAAGACTAAAGTCCAGATTATTTTTTGCTGCACAATTTAGCATTTTGGCCATGTTCTTTACCATTAGGATCTTCCGAAATGAGAAGGAAAGTATAATTTCAGTACAGATATTTGGGACACATTGTAGAACTTGTTAATGGTTTCAGTGCTAGAATTACTGGGTAATCGTGTTTCTATTGCACCTTATTTCATAGGCGCCCCTTTCCTGATTAACATCCAGATACTGATAGATTTTTTTGTTCTTGTTTTGTTTCAGGCAGTTCTTGCGGATCTTTCTACTTTAAAAGTCATGCCTCTTCTTCAGATTTTTCTGTTTGCTACCGTTACCTGATTTTCTTCAAGGTCAGGACAACACATCTAGTTCCTCATTAGAAACTAATCATGAACTATGCAAACTCTGCATAAAACCAAAATTAAACTTGCATATAAGCCAATAAAGATCATGTTCCCTCCTCAGTTAAACCTAAGTAGTTTTTCACTTTTTGAAACAATAATTCTGCACACCAAATATTGCATTGCATGCTGCTGATTTTCAAAATGGAAGCAATAGAGATAACTTCTGCTAAATTGAACATCCTATATATAGAATCCTAATTTGTAAAAGGCATGTAACATTAGATGCAATAGGAGCTAAAGATATTGTAATAAACTCAAGAGGTCATCAATTCTCTTATGTCAGTTTGTAAGTTTCCCTCCAGATGATGTGTCATTTAGTCCAAGAAACTGCTGTTCATGCAGAGCCAGAGGTGAAGTAGGATGTGAGAAGACTTGAAAAAGACGATGCTTTTAAGTGGTCATTCAAGTATACTTTGGTCTTCTTAACTTGTCTCTCACTGGAGCTTTTATGGATCCTTCTCCACTTCTTTTACCCTGTCTTCTGGGGAAGCTCAAATATTGTTGTATCCGCACGATGGTATTTATTTCATCACTTTTTCAGGAGAAGTCAAATAATTGTGAAGTGATTCACTTCCAACATCTCCACCTTGCATCTTTTGTTTAGAAGACTTGACACTGCTGGGCCTGTGGCCAGGTTCTTTCACTTTGGAGGTATTACAAAGAAGATACCTAAGTATTAAAAGGAGGGAATGAAAAGTCAGAACCATATACACTTTTGGTGAAGCTTAATTTAATGAGATTTACTTCCAGGGCGGAACAGTAAAGAGAGACTAGAAGTAAGTACCATTTGTTCAAGAACTAGGGAAATATGTAAGGCATCAATCAGACTTATTTTGATCTCTTTCTTTTTATAAGCATGAGGTCTTATTTTATATTACTGCCAAAGACTTATTATTTCTATGGAATATGCATGAAAAGTTTCAAAAACTATGTTCATTTGATTTTAGATTCAAACTCAACAGACTGATCACTTCGACAAAATCCTCAACCCAGTATCAATAGTTTGATACTTTTACTGTGTACCTGGAGAATTGTTTTATTTTTGTCCAAAAGTATTTCCTAAGTTTTTTATTTAGAGAATACATATTAGGAACTATATGAAGTTTCACACAACATTGCAAGTGTGAAATTTTATATAACTAGTAATTTGAAAATCTCTTTTTTTAAAGCTGTTTTCATCAGGTACTGGTTGATTTATTATCACTAAATAATCATGTATTAATTGGCTTTTAATTCCTTGTTATTGCTTTTGAAGGTGTTTTTGGTTATAGTCACAGGCTTTGCCATTCTCTGCTAAAGCACATTGATCACAGGAATGCCTACGACTATTCTCTCCTTCCTTTCCTCACTCTGAGAAAATGAGGGGGGAAGCCTGGGAAGAAAGGGTGTTCAATTATAAAAGTCAGATATGTGTATTTGCCCCTAGTTGACTTCTTTATTTAGGAGAATATTCATAAAGGGTTTTTTTGTTTGTTTTTTTTTAAGTAGCAATAGAATGGTCTTGTAGAAAACCCCATTAAACTGGAGAGTTCTCTAGTCTTAGCTCTGTCCCTGGATAATCCCTCTTATGTGTAATGGTAGGGGACAGAGACATATAGCAATATTTGCGGTATTTGACCTATTTACCTTCTAAATATGGAGTAAGACCAAATGAGAGAATATATTTGAAGGGGTTTTTTTGTTTGGTTGGTATTTTGGTTGATTGGTTAGTTATTCCTTGTGATAAAAGCCTGGAACTCATGCATGCTTGCCATGCACGCATTTTGTCTTCACTAAGCTCTGCTCCCAGACTCTTCAAATGGCTTTTAACTGAAACACACACACACACACACACACACACACACACACACACAAAGATCAGTGTCACTGGTAATATTAATTTAAATTATGACATATTAATTTAATATGTTTAAGTTCAGATGGAAAATAATTTATGAATTCATTAGTTCTTTGTATAACTGTATCTGGTAGTATGAGACATGGCTATAAAAAAAGAACAAACTATGGCATCATAGACTGATTGGAGCAGGTGCTTGTTCTAAATTGGAATCCCAAAGCCAAACCTGGGAAGTTGTGACACACATTTTGCTGCTGTCCCTGAGCCCCTCTTAGCTCTTCATTAATTTTGCACCCAGAACAATCAGCCGGTTTTGCTCCTCTCATCTCTGCCTGTGCCTTCTCTCTCTACCTCTCTTGGTATTCTTCCTCCTGCAGCCTCACTCCCCATCTCCTCCCAATCCCTGAACCCCGCCCCCGTTCCCTCCCCACCACGTCTGCTCCACCAGTGTTTCCCATAGGATCTGTGATAATGATATAGAACTACTTGACCAGTGGTAATGATAGAATTACTCAACCATTCATTGATAATTATAAAAATATTCACACTGGAGGTGAAAAAAGCCTAATAGATTATTTGTATTTGAATCATTTGGATTTTAATTCATCCCTAAGGTAATATGTTTGGTCTTATATTACAAAATTTATTGAAATATCTTTTTATCAGAGTCTTTCAGTAATGCAGAGTAATTGGAATTCTAGCTTAACTGCATAGCATCCTCCTTAGTCTCATCAAATAATTACACTCAGCATTCTTCCTATGTCACACAGAAAATAGAGTCCTCAGCCTTTCGTATGAAATTGAATTTTATCCTCCTATACTATTTCCTTCCTGCCTGCCTGAAGATGTTCTTTGTATATTCCTAAGGCTCTCTTAAAGTATTGTGTCACTTTCATATTTAAAAAGTTAAACAGTACCATTTTGCATAAAGGACAGTCAGGGCTCTGTAGAATAGCAAGGAAAACTTTCCACAGTATTACCCTCCTCCTCTGACCCATCATGCTGATTTTTAACCACACCGGGTTAAATCCTTGTTTATCCTCAGCTAGCTAGTCGTGCCCTCAACTCTGCTACAAGGACCTCTCCATTTCTCAAAGTTCAGCCAAAAATAAAACAAGCAAACAAACAAAAAACAACCTCATCTATTATGATGATACTCTGGTACCTGTAAATTAGTGTAAATCCTGCAGCTCTGTTGGTTCTCACACAATTGCTCGTCCACAAATACGAGGCTCAGAATACCGAGTGAAAATTATGCTTATGCTAATTACCCCAGCATTTTATCCCTCATTCAGCTTTCGTTGACTAGTCCTAGATAAAGAAAACTAAAGAAAGTTGTCCATATGTCTTTGTATTCCCTGATCCCTCCATCCTCCCCCCGAAGAAAAAATTGTTGGGAATATGTTTTTCTTTTAAAACATAATTCCTTCTACTGAGAATTCTAGTCTCCCTTCCGCCATGAACTACTTCTTTCTCCTTGTGCTTCAGGTAAGGCTTATTCCCACCATTCCCATCAGCCCAGGATCTTCGTGTCCTGGTCCCGCCAGTCCCCCTGTATTGCTTCTGGACCAGTGCAAGATTTAATGTCAAGAAGGACCAATAAAACTTGATTACAAGATTATGTTAAAGCTTTTAAGGAAGATGGGTGTGAAAAGGAAAGAAAAAATAGAGCCTTTCCTCCTACAGTCTAGAAATAGAATGAGTGGAGGCTTCTTCGTTGATCTTCCTGACACCCTCCCCTCTCTAGTTAGTGCTCCATCCGTCTCCCCTGGACCTCTGGCACAGAAGCTGAGCATTCTCTTTGCAACAAAAAAGATACTAATGGAAGATATAGAGGTTTTTTTTTTACCTTTTAGGTATTCCACTGTAACTTGGGTGTCATTCTTTGGTACTGGGCTTCTGCCTACACATTATTTAAAGACGAGGGATCTGTTTCAACACTTTGTTTCAATAAAGACATACCATGGCATTCAAAGGAAGAATTCTGTGCCCCAGACCTACTGAACAGCCTAGAGTATGTCTCTCCTTTCTATATGCCTCTGTTTGGCCTGCCTTCTCCTCCCTCTTTATCTCATATTTTACCTCAAAACCAACTCAGGAATTATCTGTCACTGTCACTGTCACTGTCCTCCCGTTGTTCATCAATTTGCTCAAGCGGGACCAGTAACGTCTCCATTGTGAGACTTGTTACTGTGTTTGGCATATTGAATTATCAGGGAAGGATATTTCTCTTATGAATTCTTCTCGTACCCTAAATATACACATATTATATCATAAAATATATTAACTCTTTTGTCCCATGGACTTCTTTTACTAGTTTAGGACAAAAATGACATTTTACAGATTTCTCTATAACCTAGCATCATGCTTACCCACATAGTGGGCTTTTGATAAGTGCATATTGAAGAAACAAATGAAGTCATCAAATCTAATTTGCCTCTTCTGTTGATAAGGAAACATGCTCAGTTTACAGTAATGAGTCCACTGACACACAGCTCTTGTACCCACCAAATCAAGTAGAGATGCCGATCAAAGCCCACAAGGGAAAAGTATTTTAAGAGAAGAACAGTGCAGATACTTCACCTCACTCATGATTTTTGCACTTTAATATCATTAACATTATTCAGGTGTATTTAATATCATTATTCAGGTGTGTTCATATGATAAAATCATACATAAGATTTGACAAAAACCCTTGCTCACATCATCACTCCCACAATCAAAATACTGAATGTCTATCTGGTCTCTCCCATTTGAATTCCCATCTACACATTCATTCCAGACAATGACTGGTCAGCTCTGTACCTAAAAAATAGAGTGTTCTTTTCTGGAGTTTCATGTATATGCATTCATACTTTTGTGGCAAGGCTAATTTGTTTAGCATGTTATGACACATACACATGTTGTCGTATTATTGGTCAGCTGTTTCTTTTTATTAAGGAATAACATTTTACTGTGTGACTTATACAATCTCTTTATCCATATTTGTGAACGAGCATCCTTGTTATACTCATGTTTAGGCTTATTATAGATACAATTACTATAAATACTTGTATGCCAGTTACCTTCAATTCTTTGGGGTTGATTAAGGATCAGAATTGCTGAGTAAAGTCAACATAAGTTTAACTTGCTAAGAAATCTGTAGTCTTGATTCTGAAGTGGTTATGCCATTTTACATTCCCACCAACAGTGTATGAGTTTCAGTTGCCCCAAAGCCTCACCATCACTTGGAATTGTCCTCCTCGTAGGTAGACTATTTTTAATTTCACTGGTGATGTTGACCATTTTCAGTGTTTGTTTATACATAATCTATTTTAAGCTGTCTGCTAAATCTTTTCCCCATGTTAATAAATTTTCTCCTTAAATTATAAGAATTCTTTATTCACAAGACATTTATGATATGCGCAATTTTATTTATTTATGTTTTGAAAGATAGAAAAGTTTACTGAAAAGAAAGAAACTCTTTTTCCAGGGATGTACTGAGTGTAGGACTGAGTGCAGTGTGTACGGTTTTCTTTCAACCTATGGTTTGTCTCTTCATTTTCTTAACTATTTTTTTGAAGACCAATAGTTTAAATTTTGTTGAATCAGCTTATTTTTTCTTTTTATGCTTCATATATTTGTTTTTTTTTTTCACTTTTCCAGCTTCATATATTTGTTTGTTGTTTTGTTTTTGGTCTATACCAGGAAGCTCTCAGGACTTACTTTTGTTTATATGCTCAGGGATCACTCATGGCTCTGTTCTCAGGACTTACTCCTGGTTCTGTGCTCAGGAGACAGTATCTGATGCCAGGGATCGAACCAGAGTCTCCTGAGTGCAAGGCAAGCACCTAAACTCATGGACTATCTCTCCAGACCTGATGCATATTTTTTGTGTTTTACCCAAGAAGTATTTGCATAATTCGAAGTAACAATTCCCCCTTTTAGAAACTTCATAGTCTGGTCTCACACATTTAGGTCCATGATCATTTTATTAGTTAAATTTTGTGTATTGTAAAAAATTGATAGGACTT